GTATACATTACAAAATATTACAATTTTTAGTTTTATTTATAGAATATTTTTGTAAAAGCATTATAGAGAAAAATATAAATCAGACTATTAAATATTTTTTATATCCTTTCAAGTTTGTTTTCTGGTGCAAATTCTTTTTTCTTTAATTTATATATAAATAATTAAGAATTTACACTGTTTAATAATTGTGTATTATGTTTGTGTTAGATAGTAAATATACATATAAATGCACATACACCGTAGATACCCATAGATAAAGTGTAGATAAAATATAAATCACGAGATACAAAATGCAATGTAATTTGTAGTTTCATTAAATTACCAACCCAAAGCTATTTAGCATTAAGCAAAACGTTTTTCACATTTTATCAAACTTACCCAAATTTTGATAAAGTATGCATCAAAAAGGCTGATGGACTCGTAAAACTGAAACGAAAATGTTAAGCAGTGTGAAGTGCTACAAGTGTACAAAGCCTTAGAGTGACTGAATATGTGTGAATGTGTATATTCTGTGAAAAACATAAAATTGATTAAATAGTAGCAATAGTTTAAGTGCTTTTAAAAAGACTAGTTAGATGTATCCACGATTAAGACATATTTTAATGCATGTTTGTATACTAATAATCAAAAGATGTTAACGTTAAATTTTCGTGAAATATTCATTTATGACTGAATAAAATTTATTATTTTATTTACTTAAAAATTTACTGAATAATACCACATGTAGATCATAGTGTTAATAAAAACATAATTTATACATTTAAATTCAAAATTACTTTACATGCATTTGACTTGATTTAATTTATATATTAATATTATTATTAACCTAAATTATTTAAAAACAAACTTGAAAAGATATATTATACATATAAAGATTACATTTTAAATTAAATAAGTTAAAATAATATTTTAAAACCGTAAAAGACTTTTACACTTTCATAAAATGTACAATATTATCCATCTTGATGACAGAAAAGAATAAGCATTCTGGAAAAATAGTGCCAAAGAAAGATAAAGGCTTAAAACAAAAAATTGTTCTTGCAAGTAAATTAAAACATTCTCATACAAAACTACGCAATAAATATAAGTATGCACATACATATCAACTAAACCAACTGAAATAGAAAAAAGTAGTTAATCTTTAAAAGCTCTATATAAGCAGAAATACATTCTTTGTAGTACAGGATTATAAATCAGCCCAAAATAATTAGCGTGCAAAATAAAACATATCCTTCATGTTATACAGAAAGATAACCAGAAAAAACATGCTCTATTAAAGTACAGTAACTGCAGAGATAATTACTATTTTGCTTTTAAACTTATAAAGAAAAGTTTACAGCTACAGCTATAATCATACAACATGCAGTGTTTTAATATTATAAGTCACAACTGATTATAATAAAAATAATATTTTAGATTTCTCGTAATCTATATTATTAAAAATAGAAAAAAGCAATACATATAAAATGTTTTCAACAATTGTTTGCTTTTTAACATCTAAAACGCATAATACATATTATTATTTAAATATGAATAATATTATTATTATTACTCACCTTAAAAAATTGTCATTTTCCTCATTCATTTTTTCTGCATCTCTGGCTTTATATTTTATTAAGCGTTCAATCAGTTGTCGATTTTCTTCCTGTGAATTTATAAAATTCAAATCTTAGATAAGCGATATAAATACAGAAATACTTACAAACGGCTTATCTAACTTTCTTTAATAATATACAGCAAAAGCAATACATAAATTACAAAAAAAAGATACAGTCATATACCTGTGTTTTCCTAAGTTTTTCTTCTAAAGATGCAAAAGCAAGTTGCAAAGCTTGATGTTCATCTTTGAGCATCTGACTAACACCTTCTAATTCTTTTTCTTTAGCAATGTATTTAGATATTTCTACATGTAAATTGTTGTTAGTTTCCAAACTTTCCGCAAGACTAAGAAAGAATAAATTATATTAATAGATCTCAAATCTACAAAAAGTTAATTATTTATATATATATGAGTAAATATGATTAATCTTACCTGGCTTCCTTTGCTTGTAGTTCTTTCGTCATGTTCTGCAGTTTATTATTGAGATCTACTATTTGTTGTGTATGCTCTCCTTTCCTTTTATGCAGCATTGCCAATTCTTCTGCTTGTTTTAAAAGTCTAGCTTCGAGATCCGAATTTCCACTTAAACCAGGAGTGCCATTTCCCGATTCACGACGAAGAGTCTCATTTGCAATTGTCAATTGCATGTTTGTATTTCGTAATGTGTTTACACTTTCAAATAACCTATTATCTGTAAAATGAAAGTATCAACAGTTAATCTGTAGACATATTGCACATCAAGCAAGACATATGGTAAACAATAAGATATCAATAAAATATGGCACTATATCCAAAACCAGATACATTACACGTTAATATCTGTATTAAATAATTCAACATAAAAATAAAGGTATGAAATTTACGTAGGCTTATGAGTTCCGCAAAACAAGTGGTTTGCGATCTGTTCCTTTCGCGTAACTGTGAAATTATATCCTTTCGCCAGTTGATGTCTTCTCGGGATACAAGCGGCTTGCCTGCTTCATTTGAGGCCATTTCTTCCGTCTGATCCGCACGCACTGTTAAAATAAATGATTACTATCGATTTAACCTTGATATAGATCGTTTAGACAAGGAGATCACAAATAATGCTCCTCAACAATCGTCACTTCATGGTGCAGCCTTTCCTCATATATAATAGGTAACTTCGTCCGGTGAAGTTATGATCGATCATCAATCAGTATATAACATCCAAATATCTCATAGCAATCACATGACATCGTCGCATTAACACGAATATTTTTAATTGTGAAAATAGTTATTCTAACCTAAACGTACCAAACACTATGCTCCTACTTTGAAATTGTTTGCTATCGCTACGCACATCGATATCATACTGCCAGTCACAATCGATATGGCTTCGCTTCGATTTATCGATGTTAACGAAAGGTTAGTCCACATGAATATGTTCTATTTAATTCCATTATTCTATACTTTCTGTTACTCTCATCTTTCTTTCATTTCTTTTAAGTTAATTGTAAATATCTTGCGTTTTGAAAAAGAAATAAAAAGTTTGTTCGCGTCGTATACCCCAACATGCTCCTTCTCGCTTCAATACGCTCCAATCTATAGTATACGTAACGTAATACCAGAGAGAAACCTGAGAGGGGCCACGCTGCCGTTTTTCGTACGACGCAGTACGACGCTTTTACTAATAGCGTTTTCGATTATACAGGATTTGAACGACCCAGGGTTGGTTAATGACGTCATTGCAACCTCTCCACCAATGAAAGACTTGCATTTATAGTAAAATAGTGATTGATCAACCCTGGGTCGTTCAAAT